CTTCTTCTTCCGAACTGCTTCCTGGAACTCGGATATTCTCCTCTATTGGCATTTCTTAAATCTCTGAAATTGAAAGGCAAATTTTATGAATGTATATTTTTTGGATCTTCTTCTGTTTTCGTGACTAGGATCAACGCTACTCAAACTGTGGATCGCCATACGAGAATCACCCTGTCATTCACTCAATAGCCTCCTCATCTGCTGCTCCAAAATCGCGGAGATTTTCCCCGTCCCAAGTCATTCCCTATCATGGATCTCTCAACCCTGTCTTCAGTACCAGTGGAGACGCATGCTCCACCAGTTCTTTATCTCCGGCCAGAAGCTTTCATTCGGCACAGGCCATTACCACGGTTGCGGCCACCGCAGCCGTCTCCAATAACGCCTTCTATGATGAACAGACAATTATCTTAGAGCGACTTGCCCGGGAAAGGAAAGTGCTTAGTGGATTAGTCGATCAACTGCAGCGTGAAGCTACTGTTAAAGACACTAAAATCAAAAGAATGGGTGAGGAGATTAATGAACTTAAACAAGATATCACACAGAAGGATGCCTTTATTATTCAACTGCAGGCAAAGGTTCGATCAGTCATTGTCTTCTTTTGTCTTATCGGTCTCTTCTACTTACAATGCCTATAACCTCTTTTTCGTAATTTCCAAACAATTTTTCTATTTTCGTCGTACTCTCAGTTGGACGAATTATCTAAACTAGAATTTGATCGGGTTGCGTTGGAAAAGGAGATACACACACGCGAAAAGGTTAGAAACGGTTACTACAGATAAATGACGACTCATGTTAAAATGTGTATCAGCTATTCCTACTCCTTTTCAGCAATGTTCGGCTGCGGAGCTGAAGTGTCAAGCCCTAGGCGAGGAGCTGAATGCCGCTAAAAGTGAGATTGATGAGACACAGGCCGAATTGAAGAGTAAAAATAGCAGCATCGAACAGCTGGAGGGAAAGCTGAAGACAGCAACTCAACGGGTGGATGAATTGGAAGAATCTGAGCGTAGCTCTAGAAAAGGGATGACAGATATTGAAGGCCAGGCAAGTAGTTAATCAATGAAGACGTGCTGCTTCCAATCCAATTTTTTATATCGCCTAGGCGTACATTTTCTGTCATTGATACACTTCCTTAATTGATCGGTTTGATCAGCGTTATCGTTGGTTATCGGCCTTTTTTGCATAAGTCGCTGCTTCCGATCTCGTTTTTTTCGGAAATCCGGCCTTCTGAATAACTATTCTACGCACTGATAAAATGCCCCCATGCAACTGTGCTTGGAAATGATTAAGTGTTTCCGTTCAAGTTCAGTA